TGCCGGAAATTGAAAATGAGCGCCCATTTTACCCCCCCCCCACCTTGTGTGTTGATATTCGAATTACCTACTGGTTTGGTCAGTTATTCGTAAAACCATCACAATGCGACTACGAAATAGGGTAGGCCACGCTATCCCACACCTATACGGCCGCCTTCTATTCGAAAACCTCAAAGGCCTATATAAGTGCATGCATATAAAAGACCCTGCTTTCTAAAACCCGGGTCTCCTCCCGGCACCACGCTTTTGTAGGTCGACAGTGCAGGCGCCTGCTTGGACCACGCTCGTGTTCATTTCAACGCAAAGTTGCTTGAGACAAATCACTCGAGCAGCAACAATGCGATGAACGTTGTTCAAGTTCCTATGTTTGGAAAACATAAAAGAACATGAGCATCTCTGACGTAGTTGATAGCTGTACATAACGCGGAACTCGCAGAATTGTATCTTTGTGATCTGGTCCCTGTCAAAAGATGAAATAACGCGTGCTTTGCCCGCGTTCATTCCTGTGGAACTAGTTTTTCCACTGGGGCGAACGAATGAGGCTGACGCTGCGTAAATCTCCCTTACTGTACTCCAAGTCGCTAATGCGCTATCAGTTCAACCAACGAGTCATTAGATTTACTTACGCATATTGCTTTTGGCATTTACAACAATTTATCTCTTATTTCCATGCGGTTCTGCGGGAAGTCGGACTATGCCAGTTATTCCTGAGTTCGTACTGCAAATTTCAAATATCGAACGATTTCCTAAATGTGTAAATATTCTTACGTATAAAAATTCGCAGATATGGTAAGACAGGAGTAGTTCTGGTTCATCGAGCTTGTCGCAGGGAGTTAGGTCAATAGGCTTAAATCTAGCCAGTGTGATCGTCAGGTCTGGTTCCCTGTGGAGAGAAAATAAGTGGGGAGCCAGCGTTGTAAGACCGGTTTATTCTGTACATACGGAAATGGAGAATAGAGAGGAGGAAGCTGAAGGTCGGACCGCATGTCCATTCGTGAAGGGGCGCCGGTCCGAAGTGGTGAGAGTGTAGGCAGTCATCGCAATGAGGTCTTTTGTGAGTCGGCCTCGAAAGTGCTTGGTCAAACTGGGGGAGGCAAACCAGTCCACGCGTGTTAGTGGACCACGCCAGAGAAGCGTTCACGTGGGACGTCCTAAAGGTAGGTCAGGAATTGCAATCACGTGACCCCATGCGTGGCTTGTATGGATCGCTATAAGCTAGAGATGTAAAACCTGTCCTTTCCTGATTTTCACTGAATTTCTTCATTGATGCATGCATAATGATCACCTTCAGATGTTACTGCGTCTGTTTTATTAACTGGCAAAGAAAGGGTAGTCAAGGTGGACTTTGCTTGCTTTGACGTGCATTTCTACTTCTGCGACATCCTTGTAGAGCACGTCTTCTCAATTGGCGGCTGGGTAGATGGACAAGGTGCATCCTCGCGTGTGGATGTATTTGATACAAGGGAGCGTCGCTGGAAGCTGCAAGCGCCGCTCATCATTCGTCGTCAACAGCACGCAGCAACCCTCGTCAACGTTGGCGATTCAGCCAAGGGCGACAACGAGGCGCTGATTTTTGTTTGTGGCGGGGGCTATAATCAACCAGCTGATTGTGGTGGCGGCTGGCAGCTTCTGCGTGCTTGTGAAATTTTTGATCCTCAACAGTGTAGGTGAGCTGCCTGGCTCATTGCTGTGAGCCGTCCTTTGCCCCCTCCCTCGCTATTATGCACTCTATGATAGTACAGAGGCATCGCCTGCGACGCCAACCACCCTGTACCCCGTGGCCGCAGAGACGGTGACTAGTTCGTTTATTGGGTTACACTGGAAGTAGGCGTGCGCAGCATTTGTCGCGCTCTCTCACTCTGGGTCCCCTTGTCAATATGGACTCGAGGAACCTGAAGGTGCGATCGAAAACAGTGACTGACAGACCTGAACGGCCCGTCTGCGATTACCACTCGCGATCTGGTCTACGGACGATTAATAAGGGTTTCATAGAGACCGGAGTTTGTCGACTCGTACCCCACTGAGAGCGACGACAGTAAACGTCACGCTAAAGAGGAGTTATCGCAGCTTGACTCTTCGTTCTGAGAGGACTCGGTCATCCTGTTAGTTGGCAGTCTTCTAAGTCCTGACTTTTAGATCACTGTGATTTCTTCACCCAATAAATGAACAGTGTTAAGGTGGTATCCACGACGCAGTTGGGTGCGTTTATTTTAATCCGAAACATTGCCTAAGTAAACGAGTATTTAGAGGCTGCCTAGCAGGAAAGTTGTTCAAAAGAGACAGGAGCACTCAACCCTGGTCCCGATTCTGTCTTGCCAAGGTCGTAGGATATGCAGGGGCAGAAAGTAATGTAGATGCTAAGGTAACCTGCTTCAGTACAAAAATAGTTGCGACCTATCCGCGACAGTGATGGTCGATGAATACTCATTGACAAAGACGGAGATAACCGATATGACCACTTCTGGCTTACTGGCTCTCGAAAAGACAACGAGCTCGTGGTTCAATGGTTAGGGCGTTAGAATCTCATCGAAATGGTCTCGAGTTCGAGCCTCGGGTGGCGCACCACTTCGGGCTGGGTGTGGCGGGCTGATGATGGCCAATGAGCCAGAAATTGTCATTCCAGTCTCCATGGTCTTTGCCGGCAATACTATCAGCCTAAGACTACTAGCTGCTGTCAGCGTCCGATAAATGAGGTCAAATGCAGAGTGAGAGAAATGAGTTCCGTTAGTGGTCGGTAAACGTTTACCAACGAGTGACGGCCTCTTCACTTAAACTTGCCTTAACGCTAACTCTAACCCTAACCATAAACCTTACCCTATTTTATTGGGAATTTGGCGGGCTTTTTCTGTTCTTGTGGCCTACTTAGGGGACAATTTAAGTCATATTTATTCTCAAATTTGTATGATTGGCCTTGCCCGTCACAACGGAATGTGATGGACCAAAGGGGAGGGGGGTAGGGTGGAGTCCGAGTAGCCAACGGCACGTGCATGCGCAGTTTGCGTGCGCAGATGACTATTACCTTACATGAGCGTGTTTTAGCATGCCTAGACACAGGCCTTCAGGACAGGTAGGCTACTGTGGCCCAGTGCCTGCAGCAGCTGGTTGATAGTTGACTGGTGCATGAAGGTGGACTCCCCCCCTCTAAACAGTCCGCGTGATAAGTACGCTGGACTATCACGGAGCTAGATCAGAGTACGACAGACGTTATTCGGGTTGCACGCCGATAAATAATGCCGAAACTGGGGGAGAGGGGGGGTGAGGGAGAAGGCGTGATGGCACGCATAGGGGTGGCTTTTATCGCGCCAGACACCTGCGCTTGATTCTGGCTCCGTTCTTCTTGACTCTGTTTCGACTCTGGGCACTGGTGGGTGAGGGAGGCAGGAAAAAGAGTGCGGCAGATGCAGTGCAAGTCAACTATCACCTAAAACTAACAAAAGCGTAAGACACCATCCCTGCATCACCCTGTTGTGGAGCATACGTTGGACATCGTCAAAAACGACGGTCAAACTTTAGATGCATGAGGACGAAGCCGACGATGGTAATCCATCCCCATGAAAAGCCAGCACATAATAAATCCAGCGCGCTGCTAAGCAGATTGCCCACTGACGGCAAAACTCGGTCTTCCTGGGAAATAACTAATTCACGCAAAGTTCAATGTTCATGCACCAACCTGTTGTGGAACACACACACTGGACATCCTCGAAACCGATTGTGGAACTGTGGTCTGTGTGTGTGTGTGCAGGACTATAGAATGGGATACTGAAGCCAGATTCAGTGACTCCTTTTGAATGTGGACTGTATGCCACTCCCGCCCAGATCGAATCCCAGTCGGGCACCTTTCTGTGAGAAACGCAAATATTTCTGAAGGAGCAGGTCATGTGGGGCACGTGTAGACGGGATATTTAACTTTGTCAGTCAGTGCACCCGGGCTCGACTCCTATCGTCGTGACACCGCAGCCCGGTGGATGGGGGAGCTAAAACTGCCGTAGATAAAGTGCAACTCTGTCTCGCCATAAATTAATTCACGAGCAATTCCTCGATACTACACCCACTCCGTGAGGTATATGTTACTTCATTCCAGTCAGCTCGGTCCCAGTTCCCTAAGGTTATCAATCTTTCGTCCTCTTCCTCCGTCGTGTCCTCCTCCCTGCCTTCTATTTTTTTACTTTTTCTCCCTTCCTTCATTTTCCTCCTACTTCTTCTGCTTCTCTTCAACTGCCTTAAGCTTCAGCCCTCACTTAAGAGATGTTTTTAGACGACTTATAAGAAAACTTTACTTATAAACAAATGCAAGAG